AAATCAGTAGCCATGAATATTTTCCAGCATGTAGACAATCAAGTTCACAAACTTTAAAAATCCTATCAGCAAATGGGTGTTCGAAATATAGCATTCAAGAACGAGAACAGTGCAAACAAATGGAATATCTCTTTTTTGTTTTTGTTTTTGTGATGGTTCAAAATCAGTGAAACAATTGAGTATTATAATACCTAATTACCCAAATCTCTTGATAAAAAAATGATAACAACCAAAATGCAAGTACAACAAATGAGACTTGAGAAGCAAATAAAGAAAGGGAAGCAAGACACAAATATTGATGAAATATTAGTAATAACTAGAATTAAATCCTAATCACCCCTAATACAATCAACAAAAGCACCTACACTAACAGAATCCTCAAGAGGAAGACAACCCTTTTGCAAATTCTAGGGCTAGTTCAAAGGCAACCACAAGTCTACCTTCAAGCTCACAAAATACATAGCAATATTCAATATAGTCTAAGAAAATGAAAGATGACCTAATATTTTCTATTTATACTAAGGTCTACATAATGACTAAAAAGACCTTTAGGTGCTTGGGCTCTCCACTTGTAATTGGGCCTCTTCACATGAACTTGGGCCACCATCCTTGAATACCATTTGGATAAAATTATAGACTCTATTAGGCTTTTCCAAAAAATCATTCAAATCTTCCAACTTCATCAAATGCATCCCAATAATTTGAAGGTCCTTGGCTTGACTCCTAGTGAACGGTCTTGAAGGCATAGGCATAATGTGATCAAGAGCTCAGCTGAAGCTGAGTACAGTAGCATGGCATCAGTGATGTCAGAAATAATATGGTTGATCAGATTATATGGAGAACTGGGGATAAAATTGAAGCTACCAGTTGAGTTACTATGTGATAACAAGGCATCAATTCAAATTGTTGAGAATCCAATATATCATGAACGGACAAAACACATTGAAATAGACTGCAATTTCAATAGGGAGAAAGTGCAAAAGGGATATGTGGTACCACAGTACATACAATCTGGGGAGCAATAAGCAGACATTTTGACCAAAGGACTTGAAAGGCAGCAACATGAATATCTAGTTTCCAAGTTGGGATTGCTGAATGTGTTTGCGCCCTCCAGCTTGAGGGGGAGTGTTAAGCGTAGTAAGATTGAAGTAGGGTAATAGTGTAAAGTTACCTTAAAGTGATGGGTGTATGTGTAATAACTAGAAGTTAGTAACTACCTAGTGGTTAGTCGGTTAGTTAGGTATATAACAATAGAGTAGGATTTATTACTAGTAAAGTAAATTCATTTTCTCTCAAGCAAAGAAGAAGAAGCTCTTTAGCTCAAAACCTTCATTACTGATTCTCTGTGCTAAATTCAACACATAACAACCTCGTTTGTTTCGGATAGTTTTGGATGTTATAGTGAATTGCTGTTATAGAGAACATATATTATAACAAAACATGATATTAGGTTCCGAAAAGACTTGGCTTTTATAGTGAAGTGTAGTTATATAAGGATGCTATTATAAAGAGGCCTGACTGTATTAAGATTGAATTTGCAAGGTAGGACAAGGTAGACATATTTATTTTTAGTAAGATTAACATGTTTGAATCTGAATATAAGTTTGAATATTCATTACTAAGGTATTGTATTTAGATCTTAACACTGAATTATTTAAATTATTATTTTCTCAACATTTTCATGCGTATAATTTATCTTTTTTTATAAACTACCACATATAAATACTCAAATCTATATAAATATATAAAGCTGGGAATTGACCAGCTGATGTGGCTCCCTATATGGCCAACTTTCATATTTATCTTTTTTCTGTTTTTTCTGTTTTTTCTTCTAATTTTAATACAAAAAAATTATTTACTACCTAGAACTAATAACGAAACTGATGAGGCATATGGATGAGGAAATTTCAGTTATGGAATATACAAAAAAGTGTTATTACTACTACTTTCTTATGAAGAAAATTCAGTTATGGAATATAAATAGAGAGAAATTAAATAATTAACTTGTAATTGAAGTGCACATTGGTTATATACCTATCATGTGGCAATTCACAATATGAGATGTAATAGTGAATGTCTACATTAACCCCTTCAGTTGCCTTGCCCATCCTTATTTATTTACTAATTGTGCTAATAAAGAAAGCAATGAAGAGTTGTATTAGTGGTAATGAAGAGAATAAAACAGACTATTTTAAACAGTGAAGAGTCAAAATAAATAATAACGGCCTTGCTTTTTGGGCTCATATAAGCCCCATTACTTTGTGGGAGAAATTCAAAAATAGCCAGATTTACAAGTGGTCGTTCAAAAGTAGCCCAGTTTCAAAAGTAATCGAAATTTAGCCACTTTTCATGTAAAGATAAATCTGAGCGAAAACACTGTTCAAAACCCGGAAAATACGCCAGTATATTATGCTGGAGTTCCAGCATAAGTATACTTGAACTCTAGCATATTATACTGGAGTTCCAGGATAAGTATGCTGGAACTCCAGCATAATATGATGGAGTTCCAGCATAAGTACACTAGAACTCCAGCATAATATACTGGAGTTCCAGCAAAGTATACCGGTCCAGTATAATATGCTGGAAGTTCATACACAAGTGCTCGAATCTCCAGTATATTATGCTGGAACTTTCCGTGTGTTGGAGTTCCAGCAAAATATGCTGGAAGTTCATACACAGGTGCATCGAACTCCAGTATATTATGCTGGACCGGTCTCTGTTGCAGCAAAATAGTGGCTATTTTTCATTGACTTGGTAAACGCTGCTATTTTTGAATGACCAAGTCCGAAAACTGGCTAGACCGTGCTATTTTTACTTACTTTGTTGCCTCCCACAATGGGAAGCATATGCAAATTAGGTCATCAAAGGTATTTATCTTTTCTTTATTTTATATTTCCTTTATAACTTCTTTTAGTGTGCATTTGTTAAATGAAATAACTACAGAGAGGACTCTCCTCTCCATTATCAAAATCTCATTTTTTCAATATCTTTTGGGAAGAAAATGGAGCCGAAGAGCTGCCAATGAGAGTATGTAAAACAATGCTAGATCATCTAGCTTATCATTTTCGACAAATATTTACAAGGATTGAATATTTGAACATCATTAGATTCTGTTCCCATGATTGTTGTTGAATATCGACATCATTTTCTATTAATAATGTTTATTAGTCTTATGTGATATTAAAAAACTATATTGCTTCAAATGCAGGGAGTTTGTGCTTTTCAAGTTGAAAGAACAGATATTGACGGGCGCAAATATTGATAACCACTAAATAAAAAGTCACGGCCAATCAGAACTTCTCCATAAGTAATCCACATAAGCAATGCAGAAGAAATTCAAAGGTCCATGTGGGAGGGAAAATGGTTAACATTGTATGCAAAAAGATGAACTTGTATGTGTGAATATTTTTAATGTATTTGTAGCGTGTTATGAATATTTGACTTGTATGTAAATTCAAGCAAAGACTTGAATAGATGATTCTTTTGAGTTTATTATGATGAATTTACTTGATACTTATTTAGTAGTATTAATTTACCGTTAGCATAGTATGCATTCTAAGTTTGAATCACATATACACATAAAGTTGATTCTTAAAGATGATTTTACTTGGCCACATGGAAATTTAAACAGAAGATATTTTTTTTTTTTTTTTTTTTGTGTGTGTTTTTGTCATGATCGTGATCAGCGTGATATTTTTTGTTATAGAAGCTGAATTTTGGGCACTTTATGGACCCTAATAATTTATTTTATGTGTCTTACTGTCTCAGATTTATGAGGGAGTAGGCATTGAAATTAGTAAATGATATTGTAGAAACTTATCCTTAATCAAACTGTCTCCTGATTTTATTAATACCAATGCAAATATTGTCTTGCCTCATCAACCTCTTAAAGGCCTTTGCCAAGAGACAACAGTAGTAATGACCGAAAAGAAGCACATCATGGCTGTATTACAGAGATTTTTGAAATAGATTTCACGTAATAATTTAAATGCGTTATTATGTCAATAAGATGCAATTTTTTTCGTTAATAACCGCGCGAAGTGCGGACCGTTACACTAGTAAATAAATAAATATTACATTCACAAAATATAAAAGAAAGTAACACTTTACATGATGTTGTATAAATGTTTTCATTGATGATCACTCTTTAAAAGCTGAACGGGGGGAGGGGGTGGGGTGGGGTTAGTTGTGGTGTAGTGGCCATAAGTGGTAGATTTGAGATGATAACTAGCAGTGGAGCTGTTGGTGTTGTTGGCTATGTGGTGAGATTGGTGGTTAATGGTGCTGACTACTGGTGGTTTATGGTTGTGGTGGAAGCTAATGGTAAAGGTGGTCAGTGGTGGTGGTAATTACTGCATGGTGGTAAAGATATTGTTCGTGGTGACAAATTATAGAGGTAGTTGGTGGTCGGGAAATGACCGACGATAGTAACGGTATTGGTTGTGTGGTAGTGGTTGACGATAGGAGTGGTTAGTTGTGGAAACAAATGGAGAATTGATAAAAAAATTACATTCACAATATGTTTTAAGTGAACGTTATAACGATTTTAAGACAGACAATGTTGATTCAGACTTATCACGAACTATAATAAGTGGCCATCACAAGAAAAAATATACTAGTATATATTTATTTAGGACTCGTTTGGCCATAGATCTTGTCAAAACAAATTTGGGTTTTATTTGGCAAATACATGTTTGGCTATAGATTTTGCCTATATTTTGGCAAAATCCCAAATCCCAAAACCATCTCAATAGCTGGTTTTGGGCCAAAATATTTAAAAACACTAATAATAAACATGTTTTTCCGAAATAAATTTGGGAAATATGTTTTGAAAACTAACGTCCAAACACATTTTCATCTTCAAACCAAACTCAACAAAATCAGATTTCTCAAAACAAATTTGGGAATCTATGGCCAAACGCCAGCTTAAACTGAGTTAAATTAAACCTTTATTGCTTAGCCCTTAATAGGATACCACTATAAAACTTTTGTTCTTAGTGAAAGGAAACATTGTTTCTAGTCTATTGTGGATGTATCAAAACACTCGAAGTACAAGAAACGTGGACATGAATAAAACAGGGATGGATCCAAATTATGATTTCTCCTTGAAAACAAATAGGCAAAATAATTGAAATGTAACTTATTACATATTGTAGATGATGAAGTCATAAAACCCTCGAGACCAAAGCAAGTCTAGGATTGGTAACAGAGGTTGTCAAATCCCATATAATCTTTGTTCTCCAGCTTCTCAATCATATTTGCTATCCCCACACCTCCTGCAAATTATCAAACACAACACTTTCATGTCAAAAGAAAGCAGAAATATTAATTAGTCATTTTAACAATGAGAATTAAAAAAATGAGTATATATATACCTAAGCTGATTGCACTGACAAATATTGTCATAGCCAGTATGAAAATGATAATAGAGGCCCTTCCAAGTAGAGCAATTACTCTTCTAACAACGTGTTGACCAACAAGTGCAGCAATTGTTGCCACAGAAACGAAATAAGCAGCTGCACATTTTTTGAAATATATATAAACAGTCAAGATTATCTAAACCTAGCGATTAATTAAAATTGTTTAATTTTGTCTTTGTTGCTAATTACCGTATGGGACAGGGAAACGCTTCAAAAGGTAATATTGCACAACTGACATGGAGGATGAGAACGTCATTGAAAAGGTTGATGTTGCACTTGCTACCTGCAATTTACCCTCACTTTGTCAAACAATTTATCCTTCATCAACTATAAGAAACACATTGAACAAAGAGATTTTTCATATGCTATTAAATAAATCACTTCATTTAATTTATTTGTGACTAGAAATAGGCAGATTTAGAGAAATTGTGCAGGATGTATTGCTTTTTATTAGAACTGTGTGTACATATAATAAGAATACACTCATTCACGATCAGTACCTTGCATCAGTAGCGAGATACTTATTTATATGAGATCATGGCAATAATATCCGATAAAATTGCATATTGAGGTTTTACCCTATTATATTTATATTATATGAACAGCAAGATGTTTACCTGAGGAGGAATTCCGAGTTCTAGGAAAAGAGGTCCTAGGATAAAGCCACCTCCTAGACCAAGCAAACCCCCAACAATACCAGCAACTATGCCACAACAACAGTAAAAGAAGAGTAGATGGGGTTTCCAACTCGTTATTTCCTTTCCTTTTGATGCAATGACCCTTGTACCCTTGTACAGACATACTGCTTCATAAAGTGATACCGAAACAGCAACAGGTATCTAACATATATAGAAAAGCCGGACTAGTTAGAAAATAAAACTAAGTTACTTATGTATATAAGTTAAATCCTTTCTGCCTGCTTTACCTGCAAGAAGTTTAAAATCCAGTACTCGATGGAGCATGTTACGGTGTAGGTCTGCAAGCAAAAATTATGAGTATGTGTTGAGAGGATACAGAGTCTACTGCTCGATCAGGTTGAAATTTATCATAAAAAAACTAACCTTCACAATTTGAATTGCAAGGAAAGCTACCCACACAAACATTAGAAGTCCCAGTTCTTTCCAGTAAACATTGCGAAGCATGGGAACCTATACGGTGAATTAAAACAACATGTACTCCATTAATATGCACGTGAAGTTGTTAAAAAGAAGATCGGTTTAGTATCAACAGATGGATCATGTACTTACAGTGTCATCTACATTAGCTAATGGACCAGTGGGAAGTGGCCTGTATTCTCCTTCGGACTCTGCATTTTATCAGATCATGAATAACCTTGAATATACATGTCTACTTTAAGTGGCTTGTTTTGCACTGAATTTTTCTTGTTCTATTATTCAGGATACGGTTACTATAGCGTATATAGAGATGTAAACATCAGAGTCCTTGGTTTTGTACATGGTCTCTGCTGCTCCATTTTTATCCTATATATTTATGACTTATAAATGCTGCTTTCACTTCTTTTAAGATCGATCTCCAATATGTTGCTGTTTGTTTTTATGCAGTCACACTTTGCACTCTTGTTATTGGCAGAACTAAAAATGCTTAGAAATATTAAGCCAAAAACTCACCACTTGGCTTGAACTCTGACTCCAACTGCTTGGCTGCTTCCTGGGGTTACGTTGTAGGATTACGTGAAAGTTAAAAAGAAATTAAAACAGAGAAATTAAGAAGAGCTTTATTGTGATGAAGTGTAAAACTCACCTTTTTCATTAATGTTTCCTTCTTCCATGTCTCAATTCCCTTGAACAATGCCTTTGACGAGGTACCTACAACATTTACATATATACTAGTTAAGGATTTTGAAAAAGCTAGACCAATAGAATAAATTTAACACACACAATCGCTTCAACCTGTTGTACTAAACACGTAACAAGTTTCCGGCCTTGTTTTTTAATTTGCTACTAGTAGTTAATTTCCTCTACTATGGATAACATATACTATACTAGTAGCATTTTAAGTGATGACACGATAGTGTGTGATGTATAAAAGTATAAGTCGATGGAATAATGTGCATAGCAAGAATTCGAGATTAATTACCAACAAAGAGAATGATAAGAAGCACAGTAACCATCCAATCAGCAAAGATGACATTGAAAGCGACCCCAATGCTAATACCAAGCATAAGCATAGGTTGTAAGAGCAAGGCCAAATCATAGTCTATTATGGGCATGTCTAGAGATGGGTGCCTCAGCCTCATGTTGTAGTACACTGTTGATCCAGCTGCTCCCATTATCATACCTTCAATAAACAAATAAGTAGTTTAATAGAGTATACATAATTTATATGTTTAAAAGACAAAGTACGTAGCAAATACTACATACATTTGGAAATAGCAGTAGATGACTTTGGGTCGAAGCCAATAATAAGGGTTAGCATTGGAACAAAGATTCCGCCGCCTCCAACCCCACCAACGCTTCCCAAGGCTGCACCAAAAAACCCGACTATCGATCCTACTATTATTTTCCATCCAAACTTCATCTCCTGCGCACTCCCAAAGAAAAACATAGTCATAATATATATATGTATAATGGTTAGCGAGCGAGCATTCTGTCTGTTTACTTTACATGATAATATGTTTGTTACAAAGCTGCGTGATAGTAGTCATACCGGCCAGACGTGCTCATAAGTGGACTTGCCATTCCATAGGAAATGCAGAAGCCGTAATGCAAAACCTTGTCTCATCTCTTTCTCTACAACGTAAGTTGGCTCTTCGGTTTTCAGAAGCCTTTCTGCATTCCCTACATCACTTATAGTGAATAATCCCCAGCATATTATCCAAACTGCCGTTATGACCAACGCCTTCACTCTCTCTTTTACCTCCTCATTAGCCATGTTGAAAACCATCTCGATCAAATTAACTTGCAAGGTATATATAGCTATTTCCTCTCTGTTTCCTTTGAGGTTTGCCTGCTTCTAGCTTCCACTTTCAAGAACCTGCAGGGAAAGAGCAGAGGAGTTGAAAAGTAAATCTCAAGATTGCATGCTAGAATATCTTCTTTTTTGCCTGCGTTTTATATAAGTTGAAAGAGCGGTAAATAGTTCACTCTTTCCCTATGCGTCTGATATGGACATTTACGTGTTTTCTACTGTTGAAGAAAGATATACTATCATTTTCATATTTCTGAGTGTAGTTGGAATCTAGTCTAGTGAAGATTTTATGGCATTAGGGGTTATTTAGTCTTTTTTATCTGTCATTTTAAAAGTGTACGTGGCTCTTCCTTGGACCTTGGGTGAACGCAATATTTTTCTTGCACGGACTGCCTTTTCTTTAACTCAAAAATTTTGGCCGAAAATAGTTGTGCCTTTAAAAAACCACAAAGATATTAGTAATTATTTTTTTCCAATATCTCACATTTACTATCATGAGAAGATATATATAGCATTCGTTATTCATAGCCATTAGTTATTCATCTAAGGAAGATATACGAATAATTTACTCAAATAATTGAGCTACTACTTCTGAATAAGTTTCTTGTTCCAAACCCTGAAAAAAGGAACTGATGGAGTAATTAATAGCGGAAAATGCAACCATTTAGGAGGACATATAAGTTCCAAACTCAACAGAAAATGGTAAGTTTGCATACCCTTCACCAATTGTAGAGTCAAACTCAATGTACCAAAATCTTGTTAAAGATAGTACTTGTGTTTGTTTGTTAAGAATTACGTCTACATTTCACACCCATCCAAAATCTGTAAAGCCTATTAGTTTTGTCGTATACATGCAAAGGGAGAGAAAAGAAAGTCCCTTTTTTGCACTACTCCACCATCTAGGAACCAAAATTCCATACCAGAAATAGAGGGAAGCAGTGTTGTTTGTCCTACCAAAGTGAAGTTTCCGCGAAACCCTCCAATTCACCATCTTACGCATGCAGGAACCTAACCATGGCTGACGAGAGATTTCAGACCACCCTTATCTTTCAGAGCATGAAATTATTACTTGGTCTTCTATTAAAGATTTAAGTATATATACCCGCAATATAAAAAGGTTCTGCACGCATCAGTATAAAAAGGTTCACTTACCCTATATTGTAGGTTATTAGTTAAGGTTTGTTAAATAAAGTTACGTGTAATTACTTTTTAAATAGCCTGATCGTGTATATATGCACGGACAAGGGTTAATTTTCATTATGGCATTCAATAACTTTCTTTGGTCCGAAGTTGAGCTTTTTTTTTGTGTGGGTTTCCAGAGCGATAGAGCTAATGTGATGTCTGTATGGGGTAAAATATGTTCATATTTAATGATCGCATGAGAAAGCGACACGTAGAGCCGAAGAGAAGACAGTCGGGCCCAAAGGAAATAATTTCGCTTGTTATCGAAGAGAATGATATTCATAAAGGCAAAATAAATGTCTGCCGCACGGTAGTATTTGATGAAGAATATTCTACAGCATTAAGTGCATAGTCCGTTACAGATAATATGGCATTCACTATCGTTACACATTCCTTCAATGGCCCTCATAATTGTCATTTAAGAGATGCTTGATCCTAGGACCTTGTTCCCTAGGTGCAACTATAAATAGTGAGCTCAATCATCATTGTAAGATAGACAAATTTTCTGACAAGCATACAATATACTTTGTTCAAAGCTAAATAACATTTTACTTTCTTGCGTATTTATATTGCTCTTACTGCTTCCGGAAGATCTACTCCCGGGCTCAAGATCTCTACTGTCTTATCTCGATTTCAACGCTAAGTATTATATTTTTGTGTAATTTATTTATCATTTTAGGATCAAATCGATTCACTTGTCTATAAATCACGTATAAATTCAACTGTATCGTTTTACGGGTAAATAGTTTGGCGCCTACCGTGGGGCTTAGATAATTGTGTAATTGAATTGATCCCTGCATCTATTACTAACTTGTTTGATTCTTTGTTCTTAAGCACAAATCATTAAAAATGGCAGATAACGATGTCAACGTCACACACAACATTGAGGCCCAAGGAAATCAGTCTTATCACGAAGATTCCATTAGCGACACGCGCAATGAGGGGGATGAGGCCATGCCGGTTCATGGCGGGCAGTATCCACGACACGTTCAAGAGGCAACTCCTGATGATGCTGAAGATGAGTACGTCATTGAAACACTAAGGTTCCTGAGGGAACAACAAAAGGCCATATGGCCATCTCTCGCGGCAGGAACAGGTCATGACGGATATAAGGTAGGCGTTGTCGGGTGCTTCCAACAACGCGAATGAACGAGGTCCAGTTCCTCCCGATGCTCCCGCAAATCAAACAATGCAGTAACAATACCCCGAGGGGCAAAGTCGGCTTTGATAAGGCTGAGAAGAATGGTAGCGGATCCGGTAACAACAATGAGAACGATCTCTTTAAAACTGAATTCATGCGGTTCATGAGGGAAATAAATGCCCGAATGGATCAAATTCCGAGCGCACCATTGGTATTGAAAAGACCAGATTCAAAGAAGTACACCCAGTTGTCATTCAAATCGAACGCAGTACCAGAGTTGATCCCGAAGCGGTTCAAAATGCCAGACGTACCGAAGTACGATGGGACTTCAGATCCTCAGGAGCATATCATCATCTATACAACGGAGGTGAAGGGAAACGATTTGGCTGCGTACGAGATTGAGTCAGTTTTATTGAAGAAATTAGGGGAAACCCTCACGAAAAGGGCCCTGACATGGTATTCACTCTTGGCCAAGCATTCATTTGATTCCTTCGAGATGTTCGCAGACTCTTTTATTAAGGCCCATGCCGGGCTAGAAAGGTACAGGCCTGAAAGGTCGATATATTCAGGATTGCACAAGAAGAGTCCGAATTATTGCGAGAGTTCGTGACCCGATTCTATAAAGAAAGGATGCTGCTCCCGGTTGTACCAGACGAGTGGGCCGCAGAAGCATTTACTAAAGGATTGAATCCGAAAAGTTCTGATGCTTCCCGGAAATTTGAAAGAAAGTTTGCTTGAGTTCTAAGCAATAACATGGGCAGATATCCACAACCGGTACGAGTCAAAGATAAGAATGAAGATGACCAGCTCGGCTTTTTGGCATCAACCAAAGGTCGGAACCAGGAGAAGAATAAAGAGAAATTAAAGGATGATTTCGACATAGATCAGGCGGGCTTCAAGGGGACGATTTTTGTCTTATGAGCGGGCCGAAGGGTGGGGAAGAAGTTTCCGGTTGGCAGATAGATTCTCTACCGATAGGAGAACTGATCGCGGCCAGAATAATAGGTCATTACTGGACAAGGAGACATCGGATTCTCGTGATTCTTCCTACCTAGGCTTTCCGAATACAACTTTAACGACAACGTAGTGGAGCTGGTGTCGGCTATGAGGAGCATTAAGAAGCACGGTTCTTGAGACCAGTGAGATCCGATCCCAGCCAAAGGGATCCTAATTTGTGGTGCGAATACCATGGAACCAATGGTCACCGGACAGGGGACTGTCGGTACCTACGCGAGGAGGTGGCGACATTACTGAAAAATGGCCATCTCAGAGAATTTTTAAGCGACCGAGCTAAAAACAACTACGGCCAAAATCGTGATAACACAGAATCCTCGAAAGAAGGAGAAGATCCCCCACGTTTGACGATCAACATGATTTTCAGGGGGGACGAGATTAATGGTGTAACATTTTCAGCGACAAAAAAGACGAATGTGTCAGTAACCCACAATAAGAGACTCCGGGAAGTTGCTGAGGACGACATTACTTTCACGTAGGAAGACATGGATGGACTATTGCAGCCATACAACGATGTATTAGTAATCTCTTTAAATGTCTTAGATTTTAAGATTAAACGTGTTTTAGTGGACCCAGGAAGTTCGTCCAATCTCATCCAATGGAAAGTGTTAGAGCAAGCCAAGCTCACCGGAAGTATCATTCCGGCCACAAAACTCCTCGTCGGGTTCAACCTAGCAAGCGTGACAACCTTAGGAGAGATCCTGCTTCCTATAAATGTCGAGGGGGTGATGAAAATGGCCCTTTCGAGGTGGTGGGCGATATGGGCTACAACATTATCCTGGGGAGGCTGTGATTGCACAAGATGAAGGTTGCGCCATCGACATATCATCAGTTGTTGAAATTACCAACTCCCGAGGGAATTAAACAAATAAGAGGTGACCAACTAGTAGTTAGGGAGATGAATGCAATCTCAGTTTCTAGTAGCAAAGCGAAGGAGCATGCGACATAGCAATTATAGGAACCAGCGCCTGCTCCCGAGTTGAGCGAAGTCAACCGGGGGGAGGAGTCGTCAGAATCCTATCAGGTACCGAGATAGTTCCAGGTACCAGAAGAAATGGACGCAGCAAAATCCACAACAAAATAACTTGAACAAGTCGCATGTTCGATAAGTTCTTGGAGAGGAAGTTCCACTTGGGGACAAGACTACACCCCGAGCTCAGGTCTGGATTTATCGAATTTCTTAAATTTAATGTCGATTGTTTTGCGTGGTCGCATGTAGATATGGCAAGTATCCCGCCAGAAGTGGTCGTGCACAAATTAAGCCTGGATCCAAACATCCTTCCAGTGAGACAGAAAAAATATCTTGTTGCTGAGGTTAGAAACAAATTTGTCAAAGAAGAGGTAATTGGCTTACTTGATATTGATTCAATCCAAGAGGTAAAATGTCCTGACTGGCTAGCTAACGTAGTAGTAGTTCCAAAGAAGAGTAATAAATTTCGCATGTGCGTAGACTATAAGGATTTAAATAAGGCGTGCCCAAAAGATTCATTCTCATTGCCAAACATTGATCAAATGATTGATGCAACGGTCGGGCACGAGTTAATGAGTTTTCTCGATGCTTACTCCAAGTACAACCAAATTAACATGAACCCGGAGGATCAGGAAAAAACTTCGTTCATAACAAATTTCGGCACATATTATTATAATACGATGTCATTCGGGCTAAAAAATGCTAGAGTCACTTACCAGCGGCTTGTAAACAAAATGTTTGAGAAACAAATAGGGAAGACTATGGAGGTTTACATAGATGATATGTTGGTTAAGTCTTTGAACGCAGGTGCTCATCTCAAACACTTGCAAGAAACCTTTGACATCTTAAGGAAGCACAACATGAAGCTTAACCCTGACAAGTATGCATTTAGGGTTAGTTCTAGTAAGTTTCTGGGATTCCTTGTGTTGCAAAAGGGGATCGAGGTTAACCCCGACAAGATTAAAACCATCAAAGACATTCCAGACCAGCTATCAAGTGTGAAAGAGGTTCAAAGGCTGACAGGGAGCCTGGCCGCTATAAGCAGATTCATTTCCAGGTCATCAGAGAAATGTCATCATTTTTTTTCACTACACAAAAAGAAGAACAAC